AGACCAAATGAAAAAGAACAGAAGATAATGACATCAAGAATTCTCCCAAGAAATAGCTTAGCTAGGTTACCACACCATATATTAAAAACTGGTATTTTATGATTTCTGAATCCTTTTTTTTTTTCTTGTATTATACAAAATAAATGTCAAAAAATAGTACTGTCATTTTACCTGCTATTGCAATCACCAGCCACCATGCCACTGAAATTCTGTCACCAAAGTCACCAACTATTTCCCTGTGGCTAAATGATACAAAAGTCATAACTCAGTTCTCATCTTCCTTGGCCTTTTGGTAGCCTTGGATCCTGTTGACTTTGTCCTGTTTTTTTGAAGCAATCTCTCCCCTTGACTTCCATGACATTCTGTTGCCTTGGTTTTCCTCCCACCTCTCCAGTCATTATTTCTTTGCTTCTTGCAGTCTTCTTGCTCTACCCATTCCCTAAACATTGGGTTCTTCAGGGCTTTGTCTTGGGCTCTCTTGGGCTCTATTCCTATACTTCTCTCTATTCTTCTTTCTGAATGATCTCATCTTGTCCCATGGATCCTGACTCTGCAACCTTTATCTCTAGTCTGGTTAGCTGTCTAGGCCTCCAGACAGACTCATACCCTCTGCCCATTGGTTTTCTCAACTTCAATCTATTTATTATTAAATCCTATTGATTATAACTCCTAAACATGCCATGAATCTGTGCTTTTCTCTCCATTGCCACTACCATTACCTTTATCCAGGTCACCATTATCTTTTGCTGAGACTCCCTGCCTCCAGTCCTGCCCATGTAAAATCCATTCTCCTTATTGCAGCCAGAACTTTAAAATGCAAATATAATCAGGTCCAACTCTCTTTAAAGCAAAACAACAACAAACTTAATAGATCCTCATTGTTAGAATAAAATTAAAATCTCTGAACATAGCTCACAAGGCTCTGTATGATCTGGTCCCTTCTCACCTCTTCTGTCTCATCCCTTTCCACTCTCTCCCCTCAAACTCCTTGCTTCAGCCATACTAAACTTTTTTAAGTTCCTTGAACATGCCTTGCTTTCTCTTCTCTCCAGACTTTAATATGTGATGTTTCCACAGACTAGACTGATTCCCATCCATACCCTGTTCTGCTCCCCAGCCCCACATCTGGCCTAATTTGGCCTAAGATCTTTTAGATTTCAGTTTAGATATCACTTCCTCTAGGAAGTCTTTCCTGATCCCCCACTGAGGGGTACGTTTTTCTCCTAAATGCTCCCATAACATCTTGTACTTCCCCTACTGTAGCCCTGGCAACACTGTATTGTAACTGTCTGATTACTTGTCTGTAGTTCCCACTAGACTAAACTTGGTGAATGGAGGGACTCTGTCTGCCTTGTTCACCATCGTATACTGAAGTGCCTGACCTATAATTGGGAATAAATAATTTGCTCAATGAATAAATGAATGAATGAAGTATTCATTGCCAATCTCATTTATTTCGGTACTTACCATCTACTGCATATAGTGTTACTTCTCTATCTTCCCAGCTGGATTGTAAGTTTCTGTGGGTCAGTGTTTCCAACTTACATTTCTATGACATACCACGTAGCACCTACCATGGTGTTAAGCACACAATAGGTATCCATTCGTTGATTAATTTAACAAGTATTTATTATGTATTTACAATGTTAAAGACAAATGTGGGGCTGGAGGAGGGTTAGAGACCCAGAAGCTGGGTAATGGGCCTGATTTAAACCCCCTAAATACTTCAATTTTTCATATCACTTAGTGCGTGTAGATATGGCTTTAATCACAGAGAACGCCTTATGTAAAGGGATATTTGTTATATTGCTAGTTGCTAGGGGAGCAAGGAATTAAGGTTTAAAAATAGATTTTTGAAAGCTTCTAACATGGAAGAGCAAAAAAGAAGAAAGCAGGAGAGACATAATAGGGCTAAATAATCCCAAGGGACCAGCGTCTATGGCCAGGGAGTAGCTGTTTCATACATTGTGCAGTGCATGTGGTTTGGCAGAGATCAGATGAACGAGTACTCCTCTCTCCTGTTATACGATAATTTCTTTTTCTAAAATAAAATTATGACTCTTACACAAATATAAAATTAACATGTATCAAATATTTTATTTAACTTATTAATTAATGAGGGAACCAGTAAGATATTAACAACTGGTTCAAAGGATAATCCAAAGAGATGGCATCCAAGGAGACCAGGCCCTGCAATCCCATAAGCAGCAACCACCAGCATTTTCTCTGTACTTCCATGAACTTGGCTTGGACGGTTGGGCCACAGTGGGATTGGAAGGGTTAGGCCACATACCTCCAGTTAAAACCTGATAAACTTCCTAGACCCCTAGCTGTAAAATGTGGAGGTTAAACTAACTAAAGTAAGGCCCCTCCTGCCTCTGATATTTTATGAATATAAGAACCCAGATTCAAAATGGGTGGTATATCAGAGGTTTCAAATTTAGTTCCACTCTTCTATTCACCTTCCCATCCCACATACCCACTCCCTAGTCTGTTGTCTTTATTCTGCAAAAGTGGTTGAAGTGGGCTGAAAAGGAGTAATATCTTGTTTTTCCCCTCTGTTATTAAAGCAAAAGAAACTGCCATGGAGAAAAAGGCTAAAGGCAATAAACCTTAGCATCGGTATCTTTCTGAGAGCTTTTAAAAAACAATACACTATCACCTCCACCCACAGTTTTTTTTTTTTCCTTCTTTTTATTTTTTTACTGTGCTTTAAGTGAAAGTTTACAATTCAAGTTAGTTTCTCATACAAAAATTTATACACACATTGTTATGTGAACCTAGTTGCTCTCCCTATAATATGACAGCACGCTCTTCCTTTCCGCCTCATATTTCCTGTGTCCATTCAACCAGCTCCTGACCCTCTCTACCTTCTCATCTCCCCTCCAGACAGGAGCTGCACATTTAGTCTCATGTATCTACTTGAGCTAAGAAGCACACTCTTCATGAGTATCATTTTATGTCTTATAGTCCAGTCTAATCTTTGTCTGAAGAGTTGGCCTCGGGAATGAGAACCAAAGAAATCTTAATTAAAGCACAGACTTCTCTTCCACCTTTCCCTTTACATAAATGCTTTTACTTGGCTAGCTGTTCAAAAAGATAATCAGAAAAAACGAGATAGCAAAAATCATTCTAAATAGTGATTCAGTGGAAGCAATTCCTCTAAAATTAGGAAAAGACAAGCATGTACACTGTCATATGTTTAACATTGTTCTGGAGAGCCTAGCCAGTACCGGGGACAGGAATAGAAATAAAAGATATAAGAAAACAAAGGGAATAAATAAAACTTTTTTTTTTTGCAGATGATTTAATTGTCTATGCAGGAAACTCAAGACAATCTATAAATGATAGAATCAATAAGAGTTTAGCAAGGTGATTGTGCACAACCAATATTATTCCCCTTCACCAAACACACAAAAAAAATTACTCACCCTCTTCTCTAAAGGAGACGTCTGCAACGAGACAACAACTTAGTCCACTCTCTGTGACAGTCTCTCCTCTAGATAAATCTCTATGAAGTTTTGAAGTAGTGCCTCATCACTCTGCAACCTACAAGCCAAATGAGTAATTTAACTCCATGTCCTCACCTCCCAGGACACCCAATTGACAATGGTGGAGCAAAAAAACTGAACATCCACAAAAAAAAAAAAAAATCCCATCTAGAAAAGGAAAAAGGAGAAGGACCATACAAGGGTAACCTGGCCAGAGAATATTGCTTCAAAAGGAAAAGATAACTTTTGGGGTTAGCAAGTTTCACCAATAGCCATTTGCGGACTCACTTTTCTGGAAATGGAATGCAATCCTTGGCCAATCTTACATAAATGATAGTTATCCTTATTGCTAGAGCAAACTTACAGGCAGAGATGAAAACGTACCTCTAAATCCTCCGATCATTTCTTTAAATTCTGGAAATGGGAATTTATTCTGGGGAGAAAATCACACTTGTTACAAGGCATTCACAAGTCCTAGGATCAAGAGAGCCAAAATTAATTTAGTATTGCAGGGTTTCTTTTCTGCTCTGAAAGACTGTTTAAGATCAAGTTCCAGACTACATTTTATGTGATTACTTTTAGTCTGATTGAGCATTTTCTTTTTCATCAGTTGGTTCAAATTATTACAATAGGTTATTGAAGGTCTACCTGTTCAAGACAGATAAAAGAGATAAGGCTCTGCCTCACAGAGTTGGCAAACTTGTGTAATTCTCCTGGTCTTTTCCTGAAAGTTTCCCAAAGGAGTCTAAATGTTCAGAGATAACCCTTACAGAAGCTCCAACCTGTCTGATGATTCCCACCTCCTTACTTGCCATGCCAATAATCTTTCAGTTAGCCCTTACCGTGATTTGTGCTGAGCTCTTAGCTCTGACATAAATAGATTGTAAATAGCAATTCTTATACCTGCGGAAATTCAACGGTCTCTCTTAGGGATTGAAGTCACGGAGGGTCCAAAGATGTCCTAAGAATAAATCTTGCGTAATTCAGCACAGCACAAAGGAGGCAATTAATAATTAATGAAATTGAGAAATCAGCCCATATTGGGTAATCCCTCCTTTTTAGGAATTTGGGATTGTTAAAGAAAATCCTGAGCCCCTTCGAAACACGAGGGAAAGTGCCCTGGGCCCACACTGCCACTAACTGAGCCTGTTTCCCTATCTATAAGATGAAAAATGACGGTCCCTGTGATTTTTAGTTTCATGTCACAGTTTTCCCAATCTGGGCCTCGGAGAGAAGTCCATAAAAAGAATAAAATTCTATCGAGGAATGCTAGAAGTGAACCCAGTGGACAAAGGTGAACGATAAGCTCTTTGGGTCCTAGCAGCAGGGCGGCCATAGGGCACCAATCCTTGCTTTATTCATGCACTTTGCCCAGCCGAATGACTAGCTTTTGAAGCTCTGCGCTCCCCCCGTCTCTCGTGGGAACGTTGTGAGCCCAGACGTTGTCCCTCAACTTTAAAGTCCCGCCCCTGGATGGAGAGAGGCCAAAGAGCAGAGGCGTAGTTCTGCGCCTGCGTCCTGCGGTCGGCGGGGAGCGGTCGTGCGAAGAGCTGGGGTCGTGAGGCGAGTCCCGCGCAGCCTAGCAAGCCGCGGGAGGTTACCCTTTTTGTTCAGCCGCGGTGAGTGAGGCGTGAAAGGCCGCCGACCGGGGGCGCTGGTGCTGGGGTACCGAAGCCGTTTGCGTGGTGAGGAAGGACTGTAGGAAGCCAGTGTGACCTCCAGGCTTCCTTCGGGAGCTACAAGGGACGTTGGCGTTATTGCTTAGGATACTAGGTTAGGAAATGCTCGAGGAGAAGCAGGGGTGTGTGTGTGTGTGTGTGTGTGTTTTGAATTGTTGGGAGTGAGCAGCCTCAGGTTTGGACATGTTCCGTTTGAGATGCCTCTGGTACGTTTTCTTAACACATTTAGTGGGCCCCTGCTGTGTGCCAAGAGTCCGTGGGTGGTGCAAATCGTTAAGCAATGCCCTAGGGTAGAATCCCCACAGAATTGTAGTAAAGCAAAAAGAAATTTTATTTGGCATATGTTCAAGGAGGCAAAAGTGGGAAACAGACAAGCATGCTGCCAGAGCTCTGTCTGCCGGAGTCTAAAGAATGTTATAGAATCATCAGTATGTATATTAACATTACGAATGAGTAAAATCATTAAAAGTTTCAGCTTTTCACAGATTGGCTAAAAACTGCTAAATCGCCATGATTCTCCACTTTGAATTGTCTTTTTTAATAATCATTGGCACAAGTTTCAGTAAGGACAGTCAGGAGGTTCTTCACTGGTCCAACAAATCTTACTATTTTCTAAATGCTGATAGAAAAAGATAAGACAGACTCTTTGTGCTCTAAGTATTTGTTTATGTAAAAGGTTCCCTAAAAGATGTTTTCCAAGATTGTCCTAGCTGTTGTTTTTATACCTCAAGACCCAGTTGATGTGTTCTTGTGAGTCCAGCTTCAGCAAGGTCACGTTCTTTGTACCCAAGAACAGGGAATAATGGCTCCAATATCAGCTCCTAAGTCAGCACTTGGCTACTAACCTAAGGGTTGGCAGTTGGAATCCACCCAGAGGTGCCTTGGAATAAGGGCCTGGTGATCTACTTCTGAAAGATCACAGCCATAGAAAACCCAGTGAAGCATAGTTCTACTCTGAAACATGAAGTGTGCTGGAACTCACTCATGCAACTGGTTTGGTTTTTGGTTTACTATGTGCTGTCGGTACTATGTACTGATGGTACTGAAGGAAGAGGTCCAAGCTGCACTGAAGGCATTGGTGAAAAACAAGGTTCCAGGAATTCACGGGATACCAATTGAGATGTTTCAGCAAAGGAATGCAGTGCTGGAAGTGCTCACTCAAGAAATTTGGAAGACAGCTACCTGGCCAACCGACTGGAAGAGATCCATATTTGTACCCATTACAAAGAAAGGTGATCCAACAGAATGTGGAAATTATTGAACAATACCATTAATATCACACACAAGTAAAATTTTGCTGAAGATCATTCAAAAGCAGTTGCAGCAGTACATCGACAGGGAACTGCCAGAAATTCAAGCCACATTCAGAAGAGGACGTGGAACCAGGGATATCATTACTGATGTCAGATGGCTCCTGGCTGAGAGCAGAGAATACCAGAAAGATGTTTACCTGTGTTTTATTGACTGTGCAAAGACATTCGAGTGTGTGGATCATAACAAATCATGGGTAACATTGCAAAGAATGGGAATTCCAGAACACTTAATTGTGCTCATGAGGA